ACACACACACACATATATACATATATATATATATATATATATATATATATATATATATATACATACACACACACACATATATATATATATATATATATATATATATATATATATATATATATATATATATATATATATATATATATATATATACAATATTTAATTATTTATAATGCATGTATATGAGAAAATATACACATAAAGATCTACATAAATAAATATCCTAGATTTTTTGGGAATTCGTTTAGAACTCCATTGGCATTCTTTCGATAAAAAATGGTGAGAGATCGATACAATAGAATTTTTTTTGTTAAATTTTTTTTTTCGAAAGGACTAATTATTTGGATAGAGTTAAAAGTTGAGTAAATGCCAATGAATTTTAAAATGAAGAAAGTTTGCATAAAGTTGTTTCAATCTAAATTAGTGCTTTGAAATCTTTATATTGGGGATTTGGTCGACATTTACTAGTTGGGAATTGGGGCCTAAATTAAACATTACTTTCGTTATATGATATTTGTCGATTAATTTTTTTACATATTAAATATGATTTTATCTTAGGAAAACAAATATATAAAAAAGAAAACGATGTCATTAAATGAGGTCATAAGAGAGAATTAATGTTTGACAAAGTTTGAATAAATGGGAAAATTGCACTTAATGCATTATTTGAACCTAAAGTGATATATAATACGAAAACTCTAAAGAGACATATGTAGTTGAAATACAGGACGTATTTGTCAATATTTATTTTTTGTTTATTCAAAAACTTAGTTAATTGATTATAGTGAATAATTTATTATTTATATAGAGATTTTGTTCATTTTCGAGTATTATAGTATCGTCAGTCAGTCCCTTAGGAAAATTTTAAGTGTTGTATTTGACCCATGCCGTGACATTAAATCTAGCTTTGCCACTAAATGATCGATTATTAAGTTAAATTCGGTTATACATCAAATAGATCCTATGAAGTTAATCGGGTTATATCTTATTATACATGTGTCGTAAATTTACAAATATTTGACACACGTCATGTGTGTATGTCAATGTATGTAATAAAATGTGAAAACCGTTCAATATATTTAATCAGGTGTAGCATATATAAGACTATTTTTTTATACATACGATAACTCAAAAATCAAATTTGGTTAAATAATTGAGGTCTAATTAATTTAATATGTGTTTTTGCCCGACCCGTAATAACTAGAAAAATAATATCTTAATTTGTTGAGAAAAATAAAACTGTTTTTCTTTTTTTTTTTTTTGATAAGAAGCCAATTTTATTATTAGGCAAATATAGCCAAGTTCAACGGAAGGAGATAACCTTCATTACAATTAAGGCCAGTAGTTTTTGCAATGGCATTAGCCAAGAAGTTATCGGTACGTTTGACAAACGAGAAAATGCAGCATTGAAAAAGTGGTAAAACAGTAGGACAATCCTCAATAAAAATACCGTAAGGAGCTGAAGTGGCCACACCTTCTTTAAGAGACTCCGTAATATGAAGACAATCGCTCTCAATAATGATTGACTGCCACCCAAGTTCAATCGCAAGACGTATTGCAAGAAGGGCTGCGTGAGCTTCCCCAACGGCTGGTGGCGGTCTCCCAGGATGCAACTCTCTTCTCCACCTAATGCACTTGCCATTATGGTCGCGCGCTACCATAGACGTCACATAGTAATCTTGGTCCGAAGGGAAAGCGGCGTCAACATTAATTTTGATGAGGTCCGGCGATGGGGGTTTCCACTTTGATGGGTGGTCCTCCCTTGCGGTCGAAGGCTGTTGGAATTGCGCATGGCTATATGCATCAAGGTACGACTTACTCCACCTGACGATTTCTTCAGCGTTCATCATTGGTTCATTGTGCAGATATTTATTCCGATTATCCCAGATTTTCCACATCACAATAATCGCCCACCGTACTAGATCCTTATCCAACGAGTGCATGAGATATTGCAGCCACATTCTGAAATTTGGTTGTTCAACTTGGTTTAGATTACCAAACGGCGCCGACTGCCACAGTTCTTTCATTCCGCAACAATCATGAATAATATGGGATAGCGTTTCACATTTGTTGCACCTAGTACAAAAAGGCGATGAAAGAATCTTCCTGCGGAAAAGCTCAACGTTCGTTGGAATAATGTCAAGGCAAGCTCTCCATAAGAAAATCCGAATTTTTGGCGGAAGAGGTAAATTCCATATTTTTTTTCCAATCCATCTTCGGTTCACCGCTAGAACCTGTGAGATTAGCGTTTCCTTCCCTCTGGTTCAGCTGTCTTGGTCGGGCAAGAATATTACGGTAACATGATTTGACCGAAAATTGACCATTTGGACAGAAATGCCAAACGAACCGATCTTGTGCGTGCATGGTACCAATCGGGACAGCAAGAATTCTCTGTTTATCAATTGGCCAGAAGACTTCACCAATTAGAGCCACGTTCCATTTTGCTAGTCAATGGGTCAACAATATCAGCAACTCGATTCGGAAATGGCGTGTTGATAGGTCGCTTCGTGAGAACCTTAAAATTGCAATCATCCACAATCCACGGGTCACCCCAAATTGTCTTATCTTGTCCGTTTCCAATTCTAATTCTCAGGCCACTTTGGAGATGAGGTTGGACTGCCAAAATACTCCTCCACATCGCCGATGGCCGAAAACCCATGTTTGCCGTGAAAAATGAACCACTGGGAAAATATCTCGCTTTCATTATCTTGGCCAGTAAAAGTTCCGGTTTAGTAACAATTCGCCAAGCTTGCTTGGCAAGCAAGGCCATATTGAAAGAACGCACGTCGCGGAATCCAAGCCCCCCCTCTTCTTTAGTTGTGAACCGTGCTTTGATGGGCTTGGGCCTATTCTTGTTCATTCTTGGATTTGAAGCTCATAATTATGATATGAGATTAGCCTTCACAAATAGCAAAATTTTGGCCTTAAATATTCATTTTGCATGCTTGTTTATTGAAGTAAGTGTTTAAATTATAGTAGATTACATTTTTTATAAAAATAAATAAATATATCAAAAAAAAAAAATTAGTTGGTACGGGTTTCGGGGGTACTCAAATTTTAACTAGAACGGAGATGAGGAATTTTAGAACTGGAGAGGGTCGATGATCGATTGCAATACCCTTCACATTGTCATCCCTAACCCCGTTTGATATTTTTAAATAATTGGATCGTAAACGATTAAATGGTGGAAGTAAATAAAAATGTATAACCCGACACTTTCCATCACGAAAATGAATACTACTGAGAACATGAGAATATTCTTTAGGGTGTATTATGAATGATTTTTCGCTTTCTGGAAATATTTTTTGATCTACAAGAAAATCCGTAACCACTCGAAGTGTACTAAGAAAATTCAGCGAGGGTTGTAATTAGTTAAAGTCTTGTGAATTTAAGGGCAATTTTGGGGATTTAAAAAAATATATTTTGTTTCTAAAATTGGCTAAAAGAAAGCTTCTTATATAGTTAGACAGAGCATGGGCTCATGTTTTTATTTTCCTGTAGCTAATATGTCAATAATGTAACAGTGAGCAAACACAGATTAAAGATCATTTAT